CATTCCCCAAAGTCAGAAACAGCTCTGTGAAAAAATGTTCGCTTGATGCTTGCTGGAAACTAGGGAATCTTAGAGCAAAGAGGGGAAGGTTTGAGTGGCCGTAGTCCCTGTTCTGGCTCCCCCTTGGGGCTGGGTGCAGGCTGGTGGGGGTGGTTCTTGCCATTGCACATCCCTCATCCAATTCAGAGTGGACCCCATGGCCATAGTTGTTCGTGTCTGCAGATATTTGGGACAGTCCTCGGTGCTATGGCTGCCCAAGGGAATACCCTGTTCCCTGTGCTACTGCTGTGCACAGCTGCTGGAGGGTGCCATTGCAGTTGATGCAGACAGGGGAGCACATGCCCCTTGTGCACTGGACGAGGGGCTGATGGTGCCTGAGCAGCAGAACCTCCACCCACATATAGCACAGAGGTGTTCTGCAGTGGTTATTTCTCTGCTCATACCTCTAAATGAGATGCTGGCTGTTCCTAATGGTATAAAAATTAACAGTTCTGATGTAGCGTCATCTTTCCCTTAAAACTAATTGCCAGTGGTTGAAAACAGAAGAGTTTGTAACCCCCACACAGACCCTCTCTGGCAGGCACAGGGTTAGTGGGTGAGTCTGCAACAGCTACAGACAGGGTCATGTCCCTGTCCTGAAAAGTCCTGGCTGTCTTCAGTAACGCTGTACTGCTGCACCCTCTGTTCCCTCTCCTTCACAATTAATCTCACCACAGCACAGCTGCCTTTCAAAAAAACCCAAAAAACCAAACCAAATCATAACAAAAAACCCAAACTCAAACCACAACGCCAAAGCCAGTCCTCATGTGAGGTAAAGCTGACCTGTCACCAAGGCTGTAAGCCCCCTGCTGTTCAGATAACCTGTGCAGCTCTTAGGCATGTTGGGGAGGGGACTAATTCACCAACCCAGCTAAATTTAGTTCTTCCCCACAGGCTCCTTCTATGGGCAGTGGCAAGCAACAAAGGATGCCATAGCTCAACCAGCAAACTCCTTGTCCAACTCATCCCTGGGAAAAGCCTGGCTTTTCTGTGCAGTGGCACACGCAGCTGCACAAACTCCAGATAGTAACAGAAGTGGCTTTGTTTTTCAAGGTGAGAGTGGAGGGGTGTTTTGGCCTGCTGGGATGACATCTCCCCTCACTGCTGCTAATGGGGGTTAATTCCCTCCCCTCTGCAGCACAGTTCTGCAGGGAAAGGCTCTCCGTGCTGCAGTGCTGGTGGCCAGACTGGACAATAAGCCAGTGCAGTGGTGGAAAGCACAGACCTGCAGGGTGAAGGAGAACCCTGTAGGCACAAATTGCTCTGGCTGCATTGCAGACCAGCCTCAGGCCCCGCTGTGGGGCCATGGCTGTTCCCAGCACCGCACACTCCACATTGCCCGCTCTCAGCAGGCTGGCTCAGGGAGAACACCGGCTGCCGAGGCCATCTGGTGCTCTGTGTCCCGGCCCTGGAGCATGGGCTGAGCCCACGAGCACCTGCAAAGTCACTACAAACCTCTGTCAGCAAAAGAGGGCTCATTCCAGATAACCTCCTGAGCTTGCTCTCACGTTGGGGGTGAGGACGGAAGAGCCTGAGCTGTGCCTGGCATTTCCCCTGCCCTCCCCACCCCGGCGCTGCAAACAGGCGACAAGCCCTGCTTTGTCCAGAGCCGCTGCCTTATCACCTGTCCGAGCTCCTGCTGGCAGCAGTGCTGGGAAAACACCAGTTGTGTGGGGCTTGACGCAGGAGTCGGGAACTACAAAGGATTTGTAGGATAGCTCTGGAAGTGTAGGTTTCTAACATGGATGCCAGTGTTGATCCAGTTTATTACTGTGGGAACGGGTTAGCTGAGGCAATTCACATTCATTACTTGGGGAGGACTTTGATCAGTCTTTGCTGTAGCTGGCTGAGAAAAGGAATGTATTAATTTTTTATGATGCAGGACAAAATATTTGACAACTGCAGTGTTCACTGTAGTCTGACTTTCCAAATTCCTCTGGAGTTTAACAGTTGGCAGCTGCAGTCTGTCAACAATAACAAGATAGGTTAAATGGGGTCACTCATGCCTTGCAACCACCCTGAGCTGCCTGCTTCAGAGGTTAACAACAATGTAAGAAATACATAGCAGGTTCCTATGTGAAGTGTGTCGGGCAGTTTATAAGTAAGTTCACGAGTATCCTCTCAGGACTGTCTCATGAAGGTGGGCAGCGCAGCACAAAGCACAATCTGTCATTTTTAACACTGATTACTTGGGTTTCCATTTGCAGTCCCTCCCTGCCACTGCCACATCTACCCTTTTCCCTGTGCAGTAGAGGTTTGTGCCCTGCTGTTCCCTGATAGCTGGTGGGAGCCCCTCCACACGGCACAGCAGCAAGAGGAGTTGCAGGCCATGGCAGGCTGAAGAGGGCTCGTGTGGGACAGTAGCAAAGCTCTCTTCTGACCTGAACAGGAATCACTATTTTTAAAACTGTTTACACCCTGCTGGTGGCAGGTAACTTGACAGAGCTGATCCCAAGAGAGAAAACTGACAGAAATGGGTTAAAAACCCCAACACTATCTTCAAGACTGACCTCCCTCTCATTGTCCCCTTCTCACAGCCCACACCATCAGCACCACCCTTATCCCAGCAAAACACCACTGAGCAGCATGGCCAGTTGCTCCAGCTCTCACATGCAAGTTTCATTTGCTAATGGCTCAGGTTGTTGTCAAGGCGGGGTCTTGGCAGCTCAAACATCATTGCTAAGGCAGGTAAGTAAGAATACCTGGATGCTGGCATGTACAGAGTACGTTTGAGTGCTGGTGAAATGCCATTAAATATATTCTAACATTAGATGAGCTTACCACACATTTTCTTGTCATCACCTGGAAAAACTTTGGAAAATGAAAACTTGCTAATAGACACACAGTAGCAACACACGAGCAAGCCAAGACCCCACATTTCTGTCCATGCATTTGGGTCTCAGAACTCAAACATCCACAAAGAAGATAGAATAAGAGCTGGATGTATCTGGGTGCAGAAGACAGGAGCACTGCTTCCAAGTCACCAGGATAAATCTATGCTTCAATAATTTGTCTTGTATCCACTGAAATATTTTCTCTCTCTAATGAACAGTCAGGGGGACATTATTTCACAATGAAAAATTTGTTAGCACCAGTCACCCCCAACCCATAGCATCCTCACATTTTAATTATTGCATTTCCTTGTGGTGTTCCCCACCACCCATCTGCAGGAAGAAAGGCTGCTTTCTGAAACACCAGCCCCCTTTGGAGCACGCCCTGCTCTGCCTGTAGGCATTCAGTGCACCAGTGCCCCTTCAGAGCTCAGGTGTAGCAAGTGCAGTCATTACTCTGGACTGCAGGAATAAGAAATGCAAGGTTGTGCTAAGAAGGTACCATGCTTGCTTTAAGCAATGATATTTGTAGTACTTTTGGAGAAAAAAAAAAAAGGGATGAGGACATGGGGCTCCTCCCTTACAGCAAGCAAAAAATATGCATTGCTTTCACTTTCTGAAGGAGGGCTAGAAAAGCAGCCACAGCTCTGCAAAGTCTCTCTAAATAACATCAAGCTCCACACACTGATAAACAGTGATAAACTCTCCATTTCACTGGTGCTACCATTAGCATTAATGCTAGTTAATGCATTTTTAGGAAGGCAGTAATTGTTATTAATTGTGCTGGATCTGGGATAAAAACTCTTTTATTTTGCACATTACCACATCACTCTGAATGTCCCCCCTTCCTCCTTCTTCCCTCCACTTTATATACTGACCATAATGCCATGTAGTCTGGAATATCCCTTTGGCCAATTCAAGTTATCTGCCCCAGCTGTGTCTCCTCCCAGCCCCTTACACACATCCAGCCTCCTCACCAGTGTGGCAGTAAAAGCAGAAAAGGCCTTGGCTCTGTGCAAACCCTGCTCAGCAATAACAAAAACATCTCTATACTATCAACCCTGTGTTAAGCACAAATCCAAAACACAGCCCCATACCAGCCACTGTGAAGAAAACTAATTCTACCTCTGCCATAACCAGCACAATCATTTACTCTTAAATCTTGTATAGGTCCTCACTAGAATTAAAGGCTGCATGAAGAAGAGTACCATAGTGTGTAAATGTAAGTACAGGTGGAGCCAGCATATGTTGGACTTTGCATTATTCAGGCTAGTAACTGAGCAGAAAACATAGCAACTTTTGTCTTTGGCAATGAACGACAAAACAGGGCTTTCAACAGGCAAAGGTCAAAGCCAGCCTACTCATTAACTTAACAGATTTAGCTGTCCCCTCAGAAAGGTATGGCAAAATATCTCTATTACAAAATAACTTTCTCTAAATCAGGCCAACAGATTACTCTCTGTGGAGAGCAAATGATCATGGAGTGAGTGAAAACTATTTTCTGCAGTGTGATAAGGTAAGTGGTATCTATACCTTGGCATAACTAGTACAATTGCAAGTGTGACAGCTCCAGCTGCAATTCCATGACCACAGCTTCTAATGACACCTGGATGACATTTTCACAAACCAGAGCTGAAAGTTTGAAAGCTGCCTGTTTCCTCCAATACTGTGTTCAGTTCTGGGCTCCTCACAATGGGAAGGACATTGAGGTGCTGGAGTGTGTCCAGAAAAGGGCAAGAAGCTGGTGAAGGGTCTGGAGCACAAGTCTTATTACAAGGAGTGGCTGAGGGAGCTGGGCGTGTTTAGCCTGGAGAAGGAAGACCTCATCACACTCTACAACTACCCAAAAGGAGGTTGTAGCAAGGTGGATGTTGGTCTCTTCTCCCAAGTAACAAATGACAGGACAAGAGGAGACAGCCTCAAGTTGCACCAGAAAAGGCTGACATTGCATATTAGGAAAAATTTCTTCACCAAAAGGCAAGTGGTGGATCCAGCAGTACCATGCTAATGGGGGGGTTGGTTGGTTTTTCAAATGTGAGATTAGCTAATGTGCTAAATGAGTAGGAAAGTGTGAATTAATGGACACAAAATAAACTTTGCTTATTTAAGAAGCCAAAATCCCTAGACCTTTAGAACAAAACAGATATTTATTTAACCAAAATAATTAGCAGAAGTTAAACACAGAAGCTACACAAATGGCTTGAACAAAGGCGCAAGTTCTCTCCCAAGTACAACCACAATTGACACCATATTTTAAACCAAAACAAATGGTGTTTTAGGACTTCCACAGGAAGATTTTTTTTTTACACAAATCTGCCAGGTTTTACCACTGAGCACAAGAACTAGCTGTAAGTGTGAAATATGCTCATTTTCTTTGTGCGAGTCTACTAAAGCTACAACAAACTATCACCTGCATTATACTCTAGAACATGTTAAAATTCACTGGAAGAACACAAGGGATTTGAACGAGGCTGTAAAGGAACTCAGCATCAAGGATCAGGTGTAAGTGACATCTCTGGAAGATCTGAAAGACTACACAGAGGCCACATTTGCACATTAAAATACACATTCTCCATTGGACTCTGATGACTCTTCCAGGACTTTGAAGACACCCATTTTTTCCTTTTTCATTTTTTCAGAGGTCTTCATTTGATCTAAGATTAAAACAAAGGTCAACAATAACAAGTGATATAGCAGACACATTTTTTCTTGGGATTTGGAAAACAAATTGATTAAATCATTTTGCTCCTTCATCAACAGTTTGCCACTAAGTTTGTATTTGAAAATATTTTTCAGTTGTATACTTCTAGAAAAAAATTCCAACATCTCTGGCTAAATCTGAATGGAAATAAACAGTTCTAAAAGCTGCCTGAAATGGTCTCATTTTCCAGAGGAAAAAAATCCAGAATGCAGTAAACCTATTTAGTGAAATTACCAGGAGAAACAGAAAAAGTTACAGCCCTGATAAGTAATATTCTTTTCTAAAATTTAAAGACCTGCAACTTGTTTTCCTAGCACTTGCCATCACTATGATGCCCTTCCAGTGAATTTAAAGCTAATAAAAAACTATTTATTCATATAAAATTTAATAATTATGGTTTATCAGGATGGAAGGTGGCATTTCAGTTTCTAAAGCATTAACTGCAGTTAGTGTCAGTAAATATTCAGTACATAATGCTAGACTAATATCTTCGTATTAACATTTTTTGACAACTTTATTATAGTTATTTTGCTTAGTATAACCAAGAAATAAAAAAGCAACCATGATAAATATGATGCACAGTAATAACACAAAGTAAATGGCACCTTCTTCAACTTGAAAAGAGAAATGAGATTGTTTTGAAGTCTGAACTTGTAAAGATAGAGGTAGACCATATTATCCATGCACCAAGAATAACTTTCTATATTAGCAGTCAGTTCACTGACGTAAGCAGTTTTATAGAACAAGGTCTTAAAACTTTTTTCCTAAATTATATAAAATATAGCAAAAATTTCCTAAGGCAGATTTATTTTATGCAAACTACACACAGCACACTTATTTAAGGCTATAATTTTTACTTCTAAATTCTGTAATGACTGGGGTTTTTTTCTGCATCTATGCTTTGGGCATTGTTCTGCTAAAGATGCTGAAGGAAACCAGGCATACTAAATCTATTAATCTTACAAAAGCATGTTAAATCTATGAACTGGACAAGAATTTTTGCTCTCTCAGGAAAGTTAAGGCTTTTTTAATAGTATTTTGGCCTGATCAAGCACGAGAATTTGCAGACAACCTCAAAAAAAAAAAATTGTGGTTTGGCTGGGCTTTTTTTTAAATAGTTGATCCACTGACAAGCCACGGTGAAAAGCTTGATTTATTTCCCAAAAAAATGTTAGACTATATTTTGAAATACAATCATATCAAAATAGGTTTTTAAACAAGTTTGCTGAAATAAACCTTTACTAAGAATAATTTCTGTTTTGATCAATTAGAGCAACTTTCCTTGAAAGTTGCTTTGCAGAACACTTCCTAATCTATGCTCTTCATTCACAGTATGCTCAGGGCACACTATGCCTGAATGTGGTTTTCTGGAGTAATTTTAAGTTCTGTTATTTCTTCTTCAGCAAACCATACTGAAAATGTCAGCAAAGGACCATAAAATATCCTTTTCCACATGAACAACACAGCTGTAAGGAAGTGAAGCTATGGCAGCTTTCTATATGCTATATACTATGAAAACTCCTACAAAATATGAATTTACTGTTGAATAAAGAAAACAGATGAAAACTCAGACTTACCAATAAGATCACTTCTATCCAAAAGTAACTCTAGATCTTTATCACTTATTACTTTTTCTTTAGATCCTTTAACCTCCCTGTTGAAGAAGAAATAATCTTTCTTAATACAGATAAAAGCATGTTAGTATTGCATAGTCAGTTTTCCCACATAGCAGAATCCCTAGGACATTCTTTGTACTAAGAAGATCCACATACCACTTCCTAAGACAAGAGAGCTATTGATAGCTGCTTGAAAGCTACTAGTTACAAACTCATGGTCCAAGAAAACATGAAATCTGCATACCTCTCATAGTCTCTGGATTTCAGTAATTCTATTAATTCCTGAGGGTCCAGGCAGCTCTTTGACTGTGCTAGGCCAGATTTGCCACCTTTAAACTGATCTGTAGAAAGAAGAAATTTTAAGAAAGTACACAGAGACTGGAACAAATAATGTAAATAGTTAAATCAATATTGGATGCATGTATTGAACAAATTACTCTTGCAAATCAGAATTAATGCTATGTTTCATTGCTCTAGCCCTCAGATAAACACACCTTACACTAACAGTCTAATTGGTGAAAAACTCAGATGACATGAAGGTTTACATGCAGGCCTTTCACTTTCTATGATGTGTATGTATTTACATATATAGTATGCAGAAGAACTGATTGAAACACCAATTCAACATGCACACACGCACACACAGAGAAGAAAAGCCTTTAGTTCTACTTACAGCAAAAACATTGTAAATAAAGTTAGGTGGTGGATGCTGAGGTTTGTTCCCTTTGTATTGTAAGCTGGTTGAAACAAAGTAAGCAGTATTAACCGCAGGACAGTAAATATGTGAAAGGCCCGTGGTTTGCAGAGACCAGCCCTCAGTTTAATGAAACAGACAGACATGACAAAATAATACCGTGACACAGGCTGGATTCTTGGAGACTATGCTAGTACCTGTTTACAGCAAACCTGGATGTCAGTCCAAATAACCCACATAAAATATTATATACTTCAGTATATGGCAGGAATATACTATTACAGCCCATTCTGCACTCATCTTGCTCATGTGCTCTTGTGTGCTCATTGTGCCACTTCGGTTTTAACTTCAGTCTGGACCATAATCAAATCATTAAAAAACCCAAACCAAACAAAAAAAAACTTACATTGGTCAATAACATGCCTATAAAAAGTCAGATGGCAGTCTCAGCAGTCATACTAGGACAACAGTGGCAAAGGCATTACAAAGAAGGCTAATGCTAGGATAAAGTAAGCATCTAACAAAGATTAGCTAACATAATCCAAAACCAGAGACAAACCACAGCTTAGGCTTGACAAGCATTGCACCATGCAGTAGGCAGTTAGAGGTGTGGCCTTTTTGCCCCTTTATGCCCTCTGAAAATGCCTTTTTTTCCCCTTAATATGAGAATATAAGAACTATGAGAAGTTTTTAACCTCCTAATATAAGACTAGTTACTGTTCAGAAGCCCACACCAAGTCACAAGAATTGCAATTTTTCAAGAGAGCTTAATGTTTGAAATTGTTACATATGCAGAACTACAGTCCAAATGTCAGAGTAAGCTGCAGAAGCAAAGCAGAATTCATATAGATTCTATATGAGAAAAATTTATCCTTGAGACACTTCAAACCTATCACATTCTAAAGGCTTTTGAGTATGACCAGCTCTATAATCAAGAATCACCACTGCCCATCCATGAAACCAAGGCCTGTTGTTCTATTCAGCACTGTTTCATTGTTCAAACAGAACTTGTCTGTTGTGGTTATACCAGACAGGTGCAAACAGGACGCTGAAATTTGTTACAGCTTGAGATCTGAAGAAACAGCACATGTTGACATGACATCATAAGAAAAAGATACCAACTTTTGTGGATTATCAGCTTCTCCAGCTTCCTCTTGGCAGCAGCTCTCTCCACAATCTTCTGGTCAATAGTATTTGCTGTCACAAGACGATAAACAACTACTGGCTTTGTCTGGCCAATTCTGTGACACCTGTCTTGGGCCTGCAAGTCTGACTGGGGGTTCTGAGCAGACAAAGAAACAAGTTAAAAACAATTCAGCTACACCATTATCCTTTTTTAAAGGGACATATCACAAGCAGCATTTTCAATGGTGAGCTGAGAGTCAGAGCAGAAGCAGTAGGCAGGAGAGACATTGTGTAACAGAATTCTACTTGACTCTTGAATCTTTTGACTCTTAAGCTCATCCATGACAAGCTCTGCTGCTGTAGCTGCACAGGCAGAGGAACCCACCAGCTTGGGTGCTTCTGCACCCTGTGCTGCAGTTTTCACCATACAGATGTGTTTAATGAGAGATTTAGATTAGAGTTTTAGTTGTAGGTTTGTGGAAATTTTTTTTGAGAGTAAGAAAAGTATTTTAAAAGTTTTCAGGCATTTTTAAAGGTGCTTTAGCTCTTCTGAATCTGAACAGTCATGCCAACAGCAGCACTGTCTACTAAAACAAAGTGAAGAGGTCCTCAGTCATTTACTTCCATAGCTCTCTTTTTCCCAGCCTCCAGACATACAGGAGCAGTACAATCCTAGCTAGCCAAAACACATGTGGCAAGCCACAGGAGGAAATTCAAGGAACTGGGACTAACATGGTAGCTGTTGTAAACAGGGAACCCATAGAAGGTCCAGATACATTCAAACTTAAGTAATAAATCAAAAGAAGGAAATGTATCTGCAACAGAAAAACCCTCCTGCTTTTTGATAACTCAGAGGCAAACAGGCTAGTTTTAGAAACCAACTTGTAATGTTGTATTCAATAACGTAGGACTTTTCAAATGAGGCTGCATTATCTCACAAAATGTTTGCACACACTACATACTATTATCTTCATGTAACACCTCTTTAAAGTTATAGAAATGGTCTATGCCATAAGGGGTTCATAAATGATTGTCAAAAGCAGCAACAGAGAAAGAATTGTATGACACATATCACTAGGTTTAACAATCTGTCAACATACCCAGTCACTGTCATATATGATAACTGTGTCTGCCGCTGTTAAGTTAATGCCCAGGCCTCCAGCTCTTGTACTCACTAAGAACAGGAAGACTTCAGGGTCAGTGTTAAATTGATGCATCTGGAAGAGAATTCATCCATTAAAAAAAGCAGATGGATCCAACACACCATAGCTTATCTTTTATTTTTGAGAGACCTACATTTAAAAAGATAAAATACAGCACAAGCTGTCAGAGCCTTTAAAAAACACTGCATGCACCTGGGACAGGACAAGACCAAGAAGTGAAACAACTGTGTTTTCTTATCTTATGCTTCCAGTCAGTGAGATGTCTAACACATAGAGTGGAGATGACTACAGTGAGGTATGGTCCAAATTACATTCACCTCCACATGATCTACCACCCAGTGATGAGCAAGGTGTCCATTGTCCAAGCTGGCAAAGTCTAAAGACATAGTTACTTCTGGATACAAATGAGAGTCTAATGCCAACATGACTGTAACTTTCAGCCACTCTGGTAAAAAACTGAGAGTGTATATAATTTTCAGGACTTTGATCACAGCAGAGAAAAAGAAACCATTATCCCACACCCAGGCTCTCTAAAAGACCCATAACTTCTGGGATCCCCTGGACACCAGCAAATCATGGAACTGAGAAGAGCCTTGCTGAACTTGCAGTACAAAATTCCACCAGCTTAATAGAAGTCATTATAGCTTGCTGACATGTTAGTTAGCCTTTCCTCTTTACAAATCAGGTTTAACAGTAGCAACCTCAGTGTTTAGGGGTTCAGTTTTCCTCAGCCACATCAGTGGCACAGAAAAAAAATGTGGAAACAGAGTATATGAGCACCCACCAGTCCAGGCATACCCCAAGATACTGGTTAGTAGCACACCTAATTGCTTTAGTATTTCTGTGCTGCAGATATCAAAGCAGAAGTAAAGACACTTTTCAACATAGATGTGTTTTGCCTATTAAAGGTTAAATACTGTACAAAATCATGTTCCACTGTCACAGGGACAAGTAGAATTTGCTAACACTCTTGAAGGGCATGTACACCTACTTACATTTTCTTCTCTCTCCGAGTAGGACATAGAGCCATCCAATCGACTGAATTTGAAGTCTCTCAGATAACAGTAATCCATCAAAATGTCAAGCATCATAGTCATTTGTGAGAACAACAAGACCTAAAAAACCAGAAAGATTCCTCAATACAATTTTCTGTTCATAAGGAGACAAGTGTATCTCCTTCCTCCTCCACCCCCTTCTGCAACAAATCTTTAGCTTTACCTTATGTCCTCTCTTCTTCAGTTCTGGAAGCATTCGGTCCAAGAGTAGAAACTTGCCTGAATTCTTTACTAGATCTTCATCAACCTTGGAACAGGGAAGAGGGGATCATATATTAGGAGAGCAGGATACCAAAGGCTTCCCCAACTCAGAAGCATCAAAAAAAGCTGTCTGAAAGCCTCTCACTGAAACAAACATGCACCACCTTTTTAACTAAAAGCCTAAGATTGGAAGCAACACTAATTTCAGCAAACAACCTTGAATCAGTTAAATCATGATAAAACTAAATTGAACCCAAAACTGGGCATTTCATATGCCCAAATAATTTAAAAAATAAAACTAATTAGTTTTCATCCCATTTCTAGAAGGAGAAACCCTGATGTTAATTTTTCCTCATGGAAGAGCATTGATACTTCTTTCCCTGCTTGTAACTAAGGCACAAGGCTTCCACCTACTGGACACAAGGAGGCACCGCTGAGCAAGTTACCACACATCAGCCAAGAGGTAAAAGTTCACAGCACAAGTTTCCACACTGTGGCCTTAAACCCCTCTTCTGCTCAAGAGTTTGTTAGATCTAATTCTTGCTATGGGCCAAGAGCAGGGATATAGAAACAAACTAAGGTTTGAACCATACAGCAGCTACCTTGAATAATTCTGAATGCATCTGGCTGAGCAGGTACTAACTCCTGCAGGTGGTGTCAACTGTCAGAGTGTCTGCATTTTCTACACATTAACTAATTTTCCCTCACCACCCCAGACTGGGGTATCTGCTTTCTATACACTAACTTTACACTGATAAACTTGCTTGCTCCTGAGTGGAGCTGAACCTGTTATCACAGGTAAATAGGAAAACATGACTACACATGCCCACAAACGTACATTTAGAACGTGCACACAATGCCCAGTTGTTCCAAGATTTTTCCAATTTAAATTACTTCATACTTTCCTATATTGCCAACTGTTTTGTGTAGATTAAAGTACCATCTGGCCTTTGTGATATAACTTGGATTCTCCCCCTTTTGAGGAAGAGAAGGGATACTGTATCCTCTAAGCAGACGACTCTGTTGTACTTGGTTCAGTCCTTCAACAACTCACACTTAGATGTTACCGCTGCACCTCCTGCAGTGTGTACAATTTATGTCATGAACAGTTCACCAAGGGTCAGCATGTTTCAAAAAATAACTCTTGTGAGGAGATCTTGAGGCACACTCTAAAGCACCTGGAGTCAATGGAACCCAGTTACTGTATTCCACAACTTTCCCACCAGGAGAGGAGCGCTGCCACAGTAAAGGACACTATGGCATAACTGTGCAAGGACTGAATAAACACAGAGGCTGAATGGGCAAGTGCTGCTGCAGGAAGTTTCAAATAATGATTCAATATACTGCTGGAGTTCAACAGGGAGGCATATGCCAAATACATTGAAAAGGTCATTCTTTTACTGCCATCAGCTCACAGTCTATTGCTTTTTAATGCCTGAAATAAATTTTCTCTAGTGCTTTTAAAATATTACCTTGAATTGTTGTGTAGCAGGATCCAACGGATATTCGATGAGATAGGGGTGATTACAACACTTCCTCAGTAACATCATAATATTCTGCAGTTTAAGGTTCACCTCGGAATCCATGGGAATGCTCACTTCTACCACTGGCCTTGAAAACATACATCATCTTATTAGTACTGAAAGTGTCATTATGCTACAAATATTTAAAATAAAAAAAATCACAACAAAATAAAGCAATGGATTCACATGCTGCATCAAATGTCCTCAAAATCCTTCAGAATTAGTAAAGCTATTACCAAACCAAACTTCTTATAGTGCCACACTTGGCAATGAAGGCACAACAGTGTGCCATTGCTGGTTTAAAATACAAAAGGGCAGTCAGTAGTAATTTGCAGAATTTAGCTTGAGCAAGTCACCCAGCACAAAATGGAATAGAACCAAGCCCTCTCAAGAACACATGAAGAGATCTCCTGTGGAGCAACACATAAGATATTCCACAATCAGCTCTCTGCCTATCCCATTGCAGTCACATGTAGACATTACAGGATTCACAACAAAATACAGCTACTGAGCTCTTCTACATCTAAGTACTGTCTCTGACATAGATCCATACATACCATAAAACTAATACAAACATATTTAATTGTCTCTTCTTGCAAGCCACACTGGACTACAGTAAAAATCTAGCAAAGTAAATGCATTTCAACCCTAAAGATTAACCTGGTTTTCCTTATACCCAAGGGACTTTCAACCAATTATGAGCCACTAACAGAAGGAAGAAGTGGGGGACACTTGAAGTGATGGCATTTGCCTTCCCAAGTAACTGTTACATGTGATGGGTCCCTGCTCTCCTGAAGATGGCTGAACATCTGCCTGCCCATGGGAAGCAGTGAATTAATTCCTTGTTTTGCTTTGCTTGTGTGAGCAGCTTTTGATTTCCTTGTTAAACGGTCTTTATCTCAAACCACAAGTTTTCCAGCTTTTACTCTTTCGATTCTCTCCCTGATCTCGCTGGTGGAGAAGTGAGTGAGTGAGTGAGTGAGTGAGTGAGTGAGTGGTTTTGTGGGGCTTGGCTGCTGTCTGGGGTTAAACCACAACAATGTCCTGAAGTTAACTCTAATGAGTCAGTGAGTGATGGTACAACCTAACCATTGTTATCATAGCTCAATGAATACTAGGTAAAATCAAAGAAACAAAGCCTAAAGCTTCAAGGATGGTGAACAACTAAACGCATTCTTCTTGATCAATCTCAATAAGTAAAGCTCTAGAAGCAAATTAAGAGGGAAATAAGACAGTATAATAAAGAATCTTTTGAGGCAGGCACCTCTCTTTTTCTACTTCCTCTTGCATTTTGCTGATCAATCTTTCCAAGTCATCAGGTGAGCCATTGTGTTCTTCACAATAATCAACCACTTTTCGACTACGGCGTTTTGGTCGGCCTGTAGGACTCAACTCAACTACTTCTTCCTGTGGGAAATGAGAACGTTTCCATCAGCAGCAGTTTGCTTCAGACTCGAAGGCCTGTGCTGACCCAAGAATTCTCAAAGCCAAAAAGAGGTCTCAGTGATGTACATCATGCAAGACTTACTTAGACTCAGAAGCTTTGAGTTTGGCTAAGTAGAAAACGCAGCCCAAATTTTAAACTGTAGATTTTAGATTGTAAATTTTTTAATTGTAGATTTTGAAAGTTTGTTTGATTTTAAAAAGCCACATTAATACCTTTTAAGCTGTAACTGTCAATTTTATGAAAACTGTGTTCTTTTCCCCCTCAAGCTACAAGTAATGAAGAACATATTTACACTTATATTGTTTTAGTTCTGTGCCCACAGGCCTATCACAGTAACTGCCAAAATAGATAACAAAAGGATCAGACTAAAAATTTAAGCAAAAAGGGGGTCTAGTTACAAGAGTAATGAATACCAGTGTGGTTTCACCTACAAACTACTAATAGCAAGCACATTTCTAACATCTGTATCAGCAGATACCTCATTATTTCCAAGCAGTTTCCTAATGGTGCGATTTACAATGGCAGTATAGAAAGTTTCTTGCTTCTTTGCCAGCGGTGCATATACCACAACTTCTCGTTTAGGAGGAACCTCCAGAGCAACATCAGATTTCAGTCTTCTCAGTAAGAAAGGTGTCAGAATCTGGAATGGTGAGCAGATGTTACAACTACTCAAAACTCTCAACGTGGCTAGTTTAAAAAAAAAAAACAAGACAAGACACAAACAGGCCTACTAATGTAATGCTATTTTGCCAATTTAGGCAAGGGAGTTAATTTGCATATATATTTGATTTTTTAATATGGATGCCTACTCCAAAACTTTCACTCACATGCTGGTAATGACGTGTTGAAACAACTCATCCATTGCCATTTTAAAAATCTTGAAGTGTTTAGTAAGGGTGTAGTAGTAACTACATTACAGACCTTTCATATAAATTCCAATAACTGAAAGTAATTTTATTATGAAACAGCTCATTTTGCTTGTTATATTTCCTAAATCAAGTTATTCTGGAAAAGTCTCAAACCTTTAACCAAAATAAATAAACAGTCATCAACAATTATATATAGAAGACACAGTTTAGATCTCTCACTGTCAGCCTTTGACAGGAAAATGATAGGTCTGTAAGCATTTACTTCCACACACCCTCTTAAAAAAAAAAAAAGCTTTGAGTGTTAGCCTGAAGACAGGCACATTATGTAACTAGTTTGTCAAAAGGTATTCTGTTTGACACCTAAAAGTTACATAACTTCTATCAAAGTTATCTTTCAACAAAATACATCCACCAATTAAATCTTTTGACAAACTGAAGCCTGTAAACTGTAATTAAGTATGACTAAAGTCAACTCAATTCCAGAATAAAAATGAGTAATTATCAAAGAGTTATATTGTTTCTTTAGCATTTTTAAGTGCTGTAAATTGAAAAAACCCCCACAAGTCTAAGGAAGTCAGAAGTGCCACAACAAAAACCTCAGACCCAAAATTCAGCTCCACAAACAAGATTTTTAAACACTTCATAATAATGGTTAGTGTTAAAAATAAACCATGAAAAATACAACACAAGGATAAGTGAAAACCTGATGCAGCATATGCAAGATGTTTTGCTCCCTTTCTTTAGCAATAATATCTTCAGCAGTTTCTGTAATGCTGGTAATATCAAACCAGGATTCAAAGCTATAAAAACAAAAGAAGGGAAAAAAATTGGTACCTTCGCAGCTATTATTCTTCATTATTTAAGTATACTATTCTTCTCTTATCCTGTGATTTAAGAAAAATAAAGCCCTAATATCCATCATGAATAGAAGGTGTACAGGAGGAATTTCTGAAATACACCTGTCAATTCAGATGCTTGAGGTTGTAAGTGATTTGTAAAAATACTTACACTAAGTTGAAATATTCAGTGACCTATTATATTCAATCTAGTCTGTAACTTTTTCCAAAATTAGTCTAAAAACTGTCTTGGCAGTGTTCTTCCACCTGACCCCTACCACTGCAGAAAAGGACCTGTGGGTCCTGTGTCTGCCAGCCTCACACAGCTTTCTCCAGCACCTCAGGAGAATCTCAAAGCAGCACCAGGCACTTACGGTAAGACAAACCTCTCTCACTACAAATGCTCATGTCTTTGCTCAGAGTTGAGCTTCCACTATCATGGAGATGACAATTAATTCCTTCCTTTCTGAAACAACTAAGTGTGAAGCAAGGCACATTTCAAAAAATCACACCAAATTACAACCATACCATAAAACAGCTCTTCACAAGCTGATATAAGTTTAATAATTAAAGAGTCACAATAATGCTCAAACAGAACAAACAAAGATAGTTCCCACTATCAGAGATTGCAACCTACCTTTTCAAATCATCAAACACATCTGGCAACAGGAAGTTAAGCAATGACCAAAGCTCTGCCAAGTTGTTTTGCAGGGGAGTACCAGTCAACAGGAGTTTATTGTCTGCATTAAACCGTTTCAATTCTCTGATAAGGCGGCAGTTCATATTTTTAATCCTGTGACCTTCATCTACTATCAGGTATTTCCAGTAGCACTGCTACAAAAAGGAAGGGTATTTCAGTAAACTTTAGCTTTATTTCAGTAAATTTTAGCCTTTTTTATTCCATCAAAACAGGGGCCAAATGAATTAAGTAGCAGTAGTAAGACTGATACTGCCTCCTACAAAGATTCCATTTACTGTGTTTCACTGTGCCACACTCCTAGAGCTGAGTCCAAACAGTTAATGCCATACATCTGCTTCATGGTGACTGCATTTAGTAAGCTTAGGTGGTTAAAATAAAACTACAAGAAACTCATCTTGCTGAATGAACCATTTGGATGTTAACCACAATATTTATACACTACAGTTTTTATTCCAAGCCTCCCCAACTACCACCAATAGAAAGGTAATGAAAAGAGCAGGTAGGCTGTAACTATTTGCTTACTTTTTGAATAATGTTCTGTTTGAAGAACTTCTTAAGCATTAAATTCCAGCACTACTCTACCAAGGAAGCAGAAGCAAATGCCAGCACACATGCTACAGTATGACACTTATTGTACAGGCAGCATGCGAGTTTTTTTACTGTATTCAAAAGCACTGCTGCCAGCAATGAGGCACCACACTGTCCTAGGGCTGCCAGGAGCACTCAGATACCTGCAGGGCATTTCTGTCTCGCATTGCTATTTCAAACGAAGTAATGACCACGGGATGGATCTGGAGTGATCCTTGTCGTCCATGGATTTTACGAACCAGTTTCCGACGCTCCTGCTGAGCTCCATGATAGAGCATCAGTGGAATCTGTAAAAAAGAGGTTACAAGTCAGGCAAACTAAGCTCATTTTTAACCTAAAGAGAAGACAGTAGAAATGATGAGATCTCTTACAAGAAGGCTGTAAATACACAGCAAACCACGGCAGTGTGTAGTAACCACATAAACACCACAATTAAACCAATGTTCTATACAGAGAAAGTTTCAAGGCAAAGAATTAGAATAAAAATTAAATAATTTGTGCTTTTAAACCTAAGGAAGAAAAAGAGAAGTCTTAATTTCTTTTACCTCTGGAGTAAATCTCTTGAATTCAGACATCCAATTTGGAAGAGTAGACAAAGGACCACATACTAAGAATGGACCAGGGACTCCTCGCTCCACCATCAGGGCTATTGTTGCAATACACTGGATCGTCTTCCCCAACCCCATTTCATCAGCTAAAATGCCATTAATACCATTTTCCCAAAGCATCTGCATATGCAAAAAACCAAAAGTAAGTGCAAAAGAATCAACACACCTTCAGAAAAAACAAAGATCTTTAGGAATGTACTAGCCGTGGAAACTCTTTACTAGGCCCATTTTATATCACAAATGAGGATGATTCCCTCCATTATGAATAAATACAAGCATCTGGTAAACCCCAGATATTCTCATGTAGATGTATGCATTCCAGCACCGTATGCCTGACTATGGTGCAAAAACACAGAACAGTATCAAAGGAAAGTATGTAACTTAGTATTATATCAAAAGGCACTTCACATTATATTATCCCAGGTTTTACTCATCCCAGCTCCAAAACATTTACTTAGTTTCCCTCTCTAAAAGACCAAGTTACTGTGCTGATGTTTCAGTTTTATGTAATCAAGTAGCTTCTGTGGGCATAGCTACCTCACCACAGAAAAAAGGTGCACCTCCTGGCCAACACAGCCACCTGCTCCAGCCACACTTCTTTGTGCAGACACTGCCCATTCTGACAAGCAACAGAGCAACCTCTCACAAAAGAACAGAAAGGAAGACACAGAAGTTAAATCTCATCAACAGTTGCTCCATACCCTTAGCCACTCCATGCCTTCCACTTGGTACCACCTCATTACACCACCAGTAAAAATCTTTGGCTGCTGAAAAGGCACTGGTTGTCCATTATATTTTCGTACTGGATCAAGAGATTGTTTGGCAGTGTGTCGTACAGCTTGACACAATCTATCCTTAATGACACTATTTGAGTCACCATTTTTCTGCAGGTCTTCTGGGTGCAGGTTGTCAGAAGAGCTTTCATCCTATAAAAGGAAGTTCAAGGAACACATGACAAGTGGAATGCACATCAAAGCCCAGCTAAGATACGTTTCCTGAATTTACACCACCCTTAATGTACAGTGGAGTAAGTCAGCCCCTGACACAAAGGCTTCTTTTGGGCATCTGTCAACTCAAGAGCAGACTTTTTAGATTCTTTAGTTCTTTAGAACTGAAGAGCAGTGACAGCTACTGAAGCTATTTGGTTTATAATTTTCCACCCATAAAGCAAGCAGACTTAAAACCTTCCTCATAGCAGCTGGTACTTAATGCAGCTATTTCCCTTCTGGAAGTGGGTTCTAAAGAATGTTGGGAAGCAATTCAATTAAGCATGTAGCTTTTGAACTGCAGCAAAAGCAAGAGAGACCTCACCCACTATCTCCACACTTAAATGCTTAAAAATTTCTTAAGGTCTTAAACACCAGTACAAATATTTTTTAGTAAATTCCTATTTCTTTTATTTTTGTAACTACAGGCATTCTATAAAGTATAAATACATTCAAATTCAGTCTTTTAAAAAATAAATTAGAAATTCACCTTTGATTTCTGAAATAAGTATTTAACTGCATTCACACCACCTTTTTAAACTTTAATTCAGGACTTCAGTAACTAGCAGAGATGTTTATTTACAGGCAAGTTTAGGAATATGTTATAAAGTATAAAAAGTCCTTCCTCCCTTTGGGCTTAATGCACTTTAACTGTAATAATATGTGCTGACATACCTGATTTTCCACTTTACTCTTTTTTGCCACTGATAATATTTCCTGGAAACAAAGGGAAAAAAAAAAACATGCTTATAGGCTTTTCAACCTTAAAGGTTACTATAATTTGTATCTCATGTGACCTTTTCATTTATTCTGCAATCTGAACATATTTTAAAAGCTTTCCATGCAACACCATTAATCATACAACAGCCTCTAAAACCAGACCACACACCAGAGAATACATCTCAATTACAAAGGGTAGCTGAAAATTCAACTGGCAATGTAGACTCTTCACAGCTTGCCTCCCTAAAGACTTGAAAAAACAAAAGAGCATCCAAATTCTACAGGTGTCAAAACATTGCTTGTTACATGGATCTTTGTTGGAAGAAAGTCATACCTCACAGACAGACTAGAGATGGCTGATGATCTCTGGTAGCAATGTATAAGAAAAAGGATTGATCTAAAATAGAGATGTCACAACAATTGCTTGACCCATTAAAAGTTGTGCAACAAAAATCCAGACAAGCTATTTATAGTTAAGGCCTACCTCTTTGGACATAATTTCTGAGATGTTATATGTTCCATCTTCCCTCCCTCTCTTCTTTTTTGCACCTATAAAGATAACATTTGAGTTTATATAAGGCATCAAACATTAAAGAAACCAAAACCACCAGTATTGAAAAAAGGCAAAACCTAATGCATCACCTGATTTCTCCTCTTTGCCATCAGTGGGGTTTTGACTCTAGAAAATAAACGTAGGAAAAGGTTCATCATCTTATGACTCTAACTATCATGACACAGATAAAAAGATGTAATCAGACTCAAACCATTGCCTTTGAAAGCTTCTTAAAACACTCCACTATTAGACAGTTTTCAAAAATAAAGCAAAAGAAAGGCTCTGCTTATCTTTTTTATTAGTTATTCAGTAACTTGGTTGAATAAGCAATCATTGCTAAAACAAAAAAAACTGCTGAAAACAAATTGAAACAATTTTCTCTAATATTAATTAGTCAGAAACATCCTCTTAAGATGACTGCCATGGTACGCAATTTTTAAGCACTTTTAAACAATCTTATTTATTATGGTATGTGCTTGCAACAAATGTGGGTAGAGCCTTTCCCAAATCTTCGTTCGCGAAGCCCAGCCATGACTTATGGTTAAAATACATATGGTATATTAGACAGATTCTACAAGTAAAATACTGGCTAATCAAACTTACTTATTTTAGCTACCTTGATCAAAACTAGCACTGTAATTTCTCAGACTTTTAGTCAAAAAGTTGCATAAAATAGCTACCTAATCTTACCTTGGCAGATTTTAACATCATCTCTCTCTTTTTTTCTAACTTCTCTTTCCTCCTCTGTTCCTAAACAAAATAAAAACCACACACGCAATTCTTATCTTTTCATAACACCCACAAGAGTACTATTCATTATAGAAATGATAACAGGTATAGATTACATTGTTAATACCGAGTTCCATGTACTTTATAGACTTTGTTTTTGCAATGTCACTAAAAGTCTCTGTTCTGACACAGCTTAAAATGATAAAGTAAAATTTGGACAAGAAAGTACAACTGCTCTGAATTGCTTGTCAGTAAATACTTTAAACACTTAAATACAGTAATTTAGGAAGATTCCAATAAAAATATTCCCAACTGCAAAGTCATGAAGTTCACATATACTGCAGTTAGTTTTCCATGTATCCAGTTTCCCTTTAAGTTCTACGTATTACCACTCATGTTCATTGCAGAACAGACAGCAATGTAAGTAGCCTAGAACGTCTTTAATGAAGAAGTGCTTTTATGTCTTGAAGAACTTAAGATTCTCACTCCATCTACTATTTCTACTTGCTGAAAGCAAAAGGATCCTGGAGAAAGAGATAAGAGACCTTGGTATTTATCAGATGGAGCAAGACTTAGTACTGAAACACTCACTCTAGAAAGGAAGTTCCTGCAGTCTGTCAATGTCCCTTTTTGGAGAGCATTGTCCTCAATCTTTTCCTAAGTTTCTCCCCCTCTCTCATGCATAAATTCTTATAAGCTTGCCCACAAAGGTACAGTTGAGAAAGTCAAGATAAAGCTACATATGAACTCAGCAGCCCATGGATTTAAAAAAAACACATAAAACTGTTTTATGGAAGCTATTGTTTGAGAACAGCATGGCCTCAGATCACTGTAATTTATAAACTTGTTTGAGGGAGGCCTACATTAGCATATTGAAGGCACACCTCATCCTCAGCTTTCAGTAAATAACACAAACAGGCTACTAAACTTCCTGCTTCCCAATTCTTTGCATCTTCTATCCTCCCTTCAGGTCTTCTAGCTCCCTTAAACTTCATTTCTTATTTCAAATACTTGTTTTCCTAGCACTCAGGCCAAATGAAGAATTGTAAGGGCATCAGTTCCACCTTTACTCTGTGACTTGAAAATTATAATTCATGCTCTTCCCAGTCTGATTCATCTATTAACTTATAGAACAAATTCTGAATACAATGTAAAGCACCACTTCATTCCTGTGCAGTAGGGTCCAGTAGATTTTAATGTTACAAAAGAAATCTTAAAAGTATTTTACTTTAAACAGCTGGATGGCAAAAAAACCTAAACAGGCAGCACCTTAAAAATCATCACTGCAGATCAAAATACACCTACCTCTAGTTGCTGCTGTTCCATTTTGGTTAGCAAGAATTTGGAATAAATGTTGCTTTTTTCAAGCAAATGTTGAAGCCTCTTATAGCGCATTTCACTTGATTCCCTGTCCCAAGAAGAGCGAGCCTGCCCAACAAAAAGAGATGTCAAGTATTTATAGATACTTCAGAGTTAATGTTTTTAATATAAATGGTTCTTCAGGATAACTACAATTGTGTCTCACACACACACTCCCTTTTCCCTTCCAGCCATTATACATCTGTGATTCGTGATTGTATGGACTCATATGCAGCTGTGAAATGCTGCAAAATGAAAGTAACTGAGGTCTGCATTCACTTGCATGTGCACCATACAAACACCCCGGGTAGCAGCACATGGAATTCAAGGGCTCAAAGGTGCTTTAACTCCAATTTATAGATTTAGAGCAAAATGAAATTTAAGTTTATTTGCAGTCTGCAAATTTGTGAGGAAAAAAAACCCCACCTGGCAAATTTGAGCACAGCTTCCCAAGTACTCCTCCATGTGCCATTTGCACAAAGTTACAGTTTCTCATTAAGAAGATATTCAGATAGCTATGCAACTATCACACCCAGTTTACAGAGCTCAAGACAACTCCCAATGTGAAAACAATAACTTCTGCTCGCTTTGCTTACAAAATCTAGACATACTTTTCAAAGTAACTTCTGCTGAATTAGTAATTTAGAAGTTTGCAAATTACTCTTCAAAACTCAGGTCAAGACTCCCCCAAAATGTAAAAAAAGCATGCACCTTTACAGATTCATCTAACATTGCCTGTTAAATTGAAATATCAAACAAGTCATAGAATCATTTAGTTTGGAACAGACCTAATACCATTAAGTCCATCCATCAACCAGCACTGCCAAGTTCATCATTAAACCATGTCTGTAAGAGCAAAGTCTGTGCACTCTTTGAACGTGCTTCCAGGGATGGTGGAATCATCACTTCCCCAGGCAGACTGGACCAATCCTGCACCAGTCTTTCAGTGAAGAAATTTTTCAGAATATCCTCTCTAAACCTCCCCTGGCTCAACCTCTTGTCTTACTGCTTGTTTCCAGGGAGAAGAGACCAACCCCCTCATCTGTCTACAGCCTCCTTCAGCTGGTCGTAGAAAGCAAAAAGGTATAAATTAGCATCTCCAAGAGAAACCCCAGAGAGGCAAGATGTAGAGCTTTACATGATGCTTATCTATGCCATCACCTACAGAAGAAACTGGGGGAAGGGCACACTAAGATAAAGATAAGGGCATCTTCTGAAACTTAATACACAATAGGCAGGGAAATGGGGTATTTCCTGAATCATGGGACAAATTGTGTGACACTGAAAAGGTGGAGCACAAGGTTTCTCCCCCCAAAAATCAAATCTTTATTTTCCACAAGTCATTCTAATCAGATAGTTATCACCTTATTCTTTTATGTGAGAAAGATCTATCTCTACAATTTCTCTGGGGGAAGAGATTGCATTCTTGTGATTCTCTATCCAGTTTTTATTTCCTTCTGATCTCCCCAATCCAGGTTTCACCTTCAGATGACAAGTACCTGAGCTCAGAAAGATCAACTCTTGATGGCAATGCAAGAGAGAATATAATTAAAACTAAACTACTCATTTAGCAAATTGCTATTGCTCATTTTTCATTGTAGTGAACACAGCATTCTTCCATTAACTGGTCAAACTGAAAGACTCTTCCCTTGACCAACTGCAAAAATTTCAAGGGGAAAAAAGAAAACTCAAAGATGCACAGCACTGAACTCGTGATATCTCACTTTAAGTGAACCCTTCAAGCCTCATGAAAGTGGAGGTTTCTTTCCCTTTGACTGAAAAGGTCAGAAATTTGCCTCTCTTTTTCATCACTCTACATTCATACGTATTTGCACGGTGGTATTTTGCCATTAGCCCTCAAAAAGGACTAGGAACTCTTTTGTTGAACTGCTGTACAAATCACCTGGTGGGGGGTTTGCTGAAGTGACAAGCATAAGAAACACAGAAGCTGCCCCCAAAATGCCAGTAAGCCTGAGTTAACTACATGAGTAATTCCCCTTGGTCTGACTGGCCCCAGATTGCACAAAGAAAGATTGACAGAAGCACAAAGGACAATGGAGCAATAACCCTTGCTAGAGGTAAGTTCTGTGGATTCTCAAGAAATAGAGACAACACGAAAAACACCACAGCTCCTGTAGCATTGCTACAGGAGTGGTTGTTGTGAAAGAAATTAAATTCTAAGTCCTTTTCTCAATACTTCCTGTACAATGAGATAATTTGCTCTACAAGGGTTTCCTCCTCCTTTCCTCCAAAAGAATTGCCTGTAAATTTTTTGTTCCTAGTCTGACCAAGGAATACTTGAAGTTCAGACAGGCTGTATCACCATTTACTGTTTGCAACAAAGAATATCGTGACACTTCTGGGAGAATCGGTACTATTTTCTAACTACAGTATCACAAAATACTGCATTCTATAAACATGTCCTTATAAATTCCAACTTTTTGTAGGGAAAAGAGTAATCAAAATTAGTTCCAAGCCTTAAGAGATTGGTATTTTTCATGCCCTTAAAATAATGCTTCAGTTTTTAAGACAGTGAAAAAAACATATCCACTTCGCTTCTAAAGTATATTGAGTAATAGTACTACTGCCTTGAACTAGAAGATCCTTAAGGACCCTTCCAACCCTAACCATTCTATGATCCCTTAGAACACAATTCCCCAAAAGACCATTTAAGAGAATAGTTCTTTCAAGCTTGTACTCTGATACTGATACTTTTTATCTGCACAGGTCTGGGAGCATCATGCTTTCATATTCTCTCCCCAGAACAGACTGGTTAGCATCCATCAGTGCTTAGCATCAACATATGAAAACATTCACAGCAAGAGAGAAATGAAGCATACACCACTGGCTCTGGGGATGTACCATTTCCCTGAAGCAGTCTGTATTTCCTGTAACACAAGCAAA